CTCTAGACTGAAGACATCCAAAGCAGACTATCCAGACCTCCCTGCTGTATCTGACTCATTACTGCAGATGGTCTCTAGACTGAAGACATCCAAAGTAGACTCCTGGCTCCACCATCCACCCTGCTCCTTTTACAGACTTAACCATCTCAGTGATTAGGAACCCCCTCCCTCCGAGTCATCCAAGCCACACAGAAACCTTGGCACCATCCCCTCACACACACTGTATCCATTCCATATGCAAATCTTGGGTGCTTCTCCTTTCTATCCCCAATCAAACTGCCCTCACCACCTTTACTGAGCCACCCTGTGCCAAACCACAGCCACCTCTTCCCTAGACTCTTACACAAGCTTCCTGCCTGTTTCCACCCTAAACTCCCTCAGCCTTCTCCACACACACACACACACACACACACACACACACACACACACACAGCAGCCTGAGTGACGATTTTAACACAGCTCATGGCCCTCCTCTACTCTCATCCCTCCAGTGCTTCTGGCTCAGTGAAAGCCAGCGGGTCCCTGCACATTCATGGTGGCCTCCTATTTCTTATGACTATCTTCTGTCACCCCTCATGTGCTTCACTCCAGAGGCACTGCTGTCCTTCACTGTTCCTCGAGCCTGCCAAGCACCTGTTGTCTCACGACTCTTAGGCTCTATTCTGTCTGCATCTGCCTCCCGCTCTCCCCAGCTAGTTCTGGGCTCACTCCCTCACTTCTTCAGGGCTGCTCAGATCTTTTCTTAGAGAGGCTTATCCTTTCCACTCTGAAATAGCAGCCTGTTCTCCACCTCCCCACTCCCTATCCCCTTCACCTTGCTTCACCTTCCCTCCTAGCACTGACCCCACTGACCTACACTTGCTTGCTGTTTCTCCCCACCCTACCCGAAGATAAACTCCACAAAGGCAGCCTTTTTTCAATGAGATGTAATTGACATGTAACATTGTGTTTGTTTGAGGGATAAGAGACGTTGATTGGATATACTCAGGTAAGGCAACAGGATTACCACCACAGTTAGCTAACACATCTAGGCAGGCTTTTTATGTACTACAATAATCCCAGCAACTGGAAGAGTGCCTGGGGGTACACAGTAGTGCTTACAAGTATTTACTGAGTGAATGAATGAGTGCATAAGTGACTTTGTGTTTGGGTTTCAAATAGTATCTCAAACCCAGCATATCCAAAAGAGAACTTTTAATCTTCTCTCCCTAGCCACCATCTAGCTTCCTAACTGGTGCCTGGCTCCCACTCATGCTTCCACTCACACCATTCTGTAGCCTGCCTTCCACATAGCAGTGATCCTTTCTCTTCAGAACAGTGATTACTACTCGGCATTTTTATACATACATGTTTTTTTGTTTGTTTGTGTATTTGTTTATTGTCTGTCTCCCCCTTGGGGTAAGGACTTTGTCATCCTTTTAAAGAATAAACTAAAATGGTCATTGTACATGCTCTTAATCCTTCAATGGCTTCCCATCACACTTAGAATAAAGTCAGAATTTCTCAACATTGTCTGAAATAATACAGTTTGTTAGCTTCCTCACCATTCTCATTTACTCTCTCTCTCTCCCCATCGATTACTCTACTCCAATTACTTTAGACTCTTCGTTTTCCTTGCTATGCTTTCACTTAGGATTATACCCTCCATGTTGTTGAAATGGCAAGATTCATTCCTTTTTATAGCTGAGTAATATTCCAGTGTGTGTGTGTGTGTGTGTGTGTGAGACGTCTTTATCCATTCATTTATCCGTGGGCACTTGGGCTGTATATGGGATTGTTTTCTTAATTTCTCTCCCTGCTACTTCATTATTAGTGTATAGAAATGCAGTGGATTTCTATATATTGATTTTGTATGCTGCAACCTTACTGAGTTCATTTATCAGTTCTAGTAGTTTTTTGATGGAGTTTTAAGGTTTTTTTATATATATTGTATCGTGTCACCTGCAAATAGTGAAAGTTTACTTCTTCCTTACCAATTTAAATGTCTTTTATTTCTTTTTCTTGTCTGATTGCTGTGGCTAGGACTTCTAGTACTATGTGGAATACAAGTGGTGAGAGTAGACATCCTTGTCTTATTCCTGATCTTAGGGGAAAAGCTCTCAGTTTTTCACCATTGACTATGATGTTAGCTGTGGGTTTTTCATAGATGGCCTTTATTATGTTGAGGTATGTTCCCTCTAAACCTACTCTGTTGAGGGTTTTTACCATGAATGGATGTTATACTTTGTCAAATGCTTTTTTGCATCTATTAAAATGATCATGCAGTTTTTATCCTTTTTTTTCTTGTTAATGTAATGTATCACATTGATTGACTTGCAAATATTGAACCACCCATGCATACCAGGAATGAATCGCACTGGATTGTGGTGCATGATTTTTTTAAATGTATTGTTGGATTCAGTTTCCTAATATTTTGGAATAGTTTGAGAAAAATAGGTATTAACTCTTCTTTAAATGTTTGGTAGAATTCACCTGTGAAACCATCTTGGTCCTGGATTTTTGTTTCTTGAGAGTTTTTTGATTACTGATTCAATTTCATTGCTGGAAATCCCTCAAATTTTCTATTTTTTCCTGATTCAGTTCCAGGAGGTTATATGTTTTTGCAGGAGGATATTTGGTAGATATCAATAAACTTTTTCTAAAATTTATATGAAGAAGCAAAAGAACTAGAACCTAGAGGATACATTACCTGATTTTTAAGACTTAATCTAAACCTACAGTAATCAAGCCATTGTGGTATTGGAGAAAGAATGGGCACATAAATCAATAGAACACAGAGTCCAGAAAGATACTGATACATATAAGGGCAATTGATTTTCCATGGAACTGTGAAAGCATTTTAGGAGAAAAAGGATAGTCTTTTCAGCAAATAGTGCTGGAGCAATTTGGTATCCTTATGCAAAAACTAACCAAACAATGCTTTGATTCATACCTTGCACGCATTACAGAAATTAAGTCAAAACAGATCATAAACCTAAATCTAAGTATAAAGCCAAAAACTATAAAACCTGTCAAATAAAATATAGGAAAAACTTTATGACCTTGTGTTAGGCAAAAATTTCTTAGATATAATACCAAACGCATGATGCATAAAAGATTGAAAAGTTAGACTTTATCACAGTTAAGAACTTCTGCTTTTCAATAGACTATTAAGAGAATGGGAAAGACAAACACAGACTGGGAGAAGATATTTGCAAGTCACATGAAAACTTGTATCTAGAAACACAAAGAACCCTTAAAACTCAATAATAAAAAAGAAACCAATTTTCTTATGGGCAAAAGGTTTGAACAA